GTCATTGAATTTTTAGAAAATTATTAATTCCCCCTTTTAATTTTTTTTGAAATACCAGCCTTCACTACTGCTAATGGAAATTCATTTCCATCTCTATTAAATGTGTTATCCAAATTATGGTAAACCAAGTCATTATCACTTGTCAGATAACATTACTCCAGTTCAATCTGTAATACATCAAGAAATACTCATGAGTTTAATGTCATCCACAAACTTCACTACTTATGCTCCTATTAATATCATCCATGTAAATAAGAAAAGGCAAAGTCCCAAGTACTGACTCCCGAGGCACTCCACTTATAATACGTGTTAAGTTTGAGTGGAGTCTGTTACTAACAACTTTTGCTTTCTCCTATCCAATTGACTAGTCTTTCCTCAACTTTCACTAATATGATTAGTTTATCTAATCTTTTGTGTGGTTCCTTATCAAAATTATTATAATAATCTAAGAAACTTCATTTCCACAACTTATTCCATCAACCAAGTAACATCCTTGTTAAAACTATCATACATTGTACCCTTTCAAACAGCAGTCTTTTAATTTGAATTTACTTAATGTTTTGGTTTTCAAAAATACATTTATTTTACTTATTTTCTAATTATGAGACTTACACAAATGTTATTCATTTCAGTATTTTCATTTTCAAGAGTAAAGTAAGGTGTATAGGGCATGCAAGTTGTCTGAGCACTATCATAAATAGGAAATTAACATACCCAAGTGAAAAACATCAGTACAATTATAACCTGCACCACTATTCATATTGTGTTGATAGATATCTGACATTATTAAAAATAATGTAACTTAAAAATAGAATAAATGAAAATAAAAAACAAGGTGCTTATATTATACCACATCATTTTTGTGATATAGATGAAACTTGAAGAAGTGTTGACACGAGACTTTCTGAACATAAAAACAACACAGAAACACAAACAGTGAGAGGTTCTGGCTATCAGATAGATTGAAAATAAACAAGAATTTTATAAAAAATAATAATAACTTTCATTTGCTAACCATGTTATTATTTGAATGATACGATTACACTACGTATGTGATTACACCTATTCATGGAAGATGTTGGGATGGTGGGGATACAGCATTAGCATACTAAATACATATATTGTAAGATATATTTTGGTCTGCTATGTATGTGATTACACCTATTCATGGAAGATGGTGGGGATACAGCATTAGCATACTAAATACATATATTGTAAGATATATTTTGGTCTGCTATGTATGTGATTACACCTATTCATGGAAGATGGTGGGGATACAGCATTAGCATACTAAATACATATATTGTAAGATATATTTTGGTCTGCTATGTATGTGATTACACCTATTCATGGAAGATGGTGGGGATACAGCATT